ACAGGCTAGGTCATTCACAAGCTAGGTCACTCACAGGCTAGGTCACTCACAGGCTAGGTCGATCACAACCTAGGTCACTCATAGGCTAGGTCACTCACAGGCTAGGTCACTCACAGGCTAGGTCATTCACAGGCTAGGTCATTTACAGGCTAGGTCACTCACAGGCTAGGTCACTCACAGGCTAGGTCACTCACAGGCTAGGTCACTCACAGGCTAGGTCACTCACAGGCTAGGTCACTCACAGGCTAAGTCACTCACAGGCTAGGTCACTTACAGGCTAGGTCACTCACAGGCTAGGTCACTCACAGGCTAGGTCACTCACAGGCTAGGTCATTCACAGGCTAGGTCATTCACAGGCAAGGTCATTCACAGGCAAGGTCATTCACAGGCTAGGTCATTTACAGGCTAGGTCACTCACAGGCTAGGTCACTCACAGGCTAGGTCACTCACAGACTAGGTCACTCACAGGCTAGGTCACTCAGAGGCTAGGTCACTCACAACCTAGGTCACTCACGGGCTAGGTCACTCATAGGCTAGGTCACTCACAGGCTAGGTCACTCAAAGGCTAGGTCACTCACAGGCTAGGTCACTCACAGGCTAGGTCACTCACAGGCTAGGTCACTCACAGGCTAGGTCACTCACAGGCTAGGTCACTCCAAGGCTAGGTCACTCACAGGCTAGGTCACTCACAGGCTAGGTCACTCACAGGCTAGGTCACTCACAGGATAGGTCACTCACAGGCTAGGTCATTCACAAACAAGGTCATTCACAGGCTTGGTCATTCACAGGCTAGGTCACTCACAGGCTAGGTCACTCACAGGCTAGGTCACTCACAACCTCGGTCACTCACAGGCTAGGTCACTCACAGGCTAAGTCATTCACAGGCTAGGTCATTTACAGGCTAGGTCACTCACAAGCTAGGTCACTCACAGGATAGGTCACTCACAAGTTAGATCACTCACAGGCTAGGTCACTCACAGGCTAGGTCAGTCACAGGCTACGTCAGTCACAGGCTAGGTCACTCACAGGCTAGGTCACTCACAGGCTAGGTCATTCACAGGCTTGGTCACTCACAGGCTAGGTCACTCACAGGCTAGGTCACGCACAGGCTAGGTCATTCACAGGCTTGGTCACTCACAGGCTAGGTCACTCACAGGCTAGGTCACTCACAGGCTAGGTCACTCACAAGCTAGGTCACTAACAGGCTAGGTCACTCAAAGGCTAGGTCACTCACAGGCTAGGTCACTCACAGGCTAGGTCACTCACAGGCTAGGTCACTCACAGGCTAGGTCACTCACAGGATAGGTCATTCACAGGCTTGGTCACTCACAGGCTAGGTCACTCACAGGCTAGGTCATTCACAGGCTAGGTCATTCACAGGCAAGGTAATTCACAGGCAAGGTCATTCACAGGCTAGGTCATTTACAGGCTAGGTCACTCACAGGCTAGGTCACTCACAGGCTAGGTCACTCACAGACTAGGTCACTCACAGGCTAGGTCACACAGAGGCTAGGTCACTCACAACCTAGGTCACTCACGGGCTAGGTCACTCATAGGCTAGGTCACTCACAGGCTAGGTCACTCAAAGGCTAGGTCACTCACAGGCTAGGTCACTCACAGGCTAGGTCACTCACAGGCTAGGTCACTCACAGGCTAGGTCACTCACAGGCTAGGTCACTCCAAGGCTAGGTCACTCACAGGCTAGGTCACTCACAGGCTAGGTCACTCACAGGCTAGGTCACTCACAGGATAGGTCACTCACAGGCTAGGTCATTCACAAACAAGGTCATTCACAGGCTTGGTCATTCACAGGCTAGGTCACTCATAGGCTAGGTCACTCACAGGCTAGGTCACTCACAACCTAGGTCACTCACAGGCTAGGTCACTCACAGGCTAAGTCATTCACAGGCTAGGTCATTTACAGGCTAGGTCACTCACAAGCTAGGTCACTCACAGGATAGGTCACTCACAAGTTAGATCACTCACAGGCTAGGTCACTCACAGGCTAGGTCAGTCACAGGCTACGTCAGTCACAGGCTAGGTCACTCACAGGCTAGGTCACTCACAGGCTAGGTCATTCACAGGCTTGGTCACCCACAGGCTAGGTCACTCACAGGCTAGGTCACTCACAGGCTAGGTCATTCACAGGCTTGGTCACTCACAGGCTAGGTCACTCACAGGCTAGGTCACTCACAGGCTAGGTCACTCACAAGCTAGGTCACTAACAGGCTAGGTCACTCAAAGGCTAGGTCACTCACAGGCTAGGTCACTCACAGGCTAGGTCACTCACAGGCTAGGTCACTCACAGGCTAGGTCACTCACAGGATAGGTCACTCACAGGCTATGTCATTCACAATCAAAGTCATTCACAGGCTTGGTCATTCACAGGCTAGGTCACTCACAGGCTAGGTCATTCACAGGCTTGGTTATTCACAGGCTAGGTCACTCACAGTCTAGGTCACTCACAGGCTAGGTCACTCACACGCTAGGTCATTCACAGGCTTGGTCACTCACAGGCTAGGTCACTCACAGGCTAGGTCACTCACAGGCTAGGTCACTCACAAGCTAGGTCACTAACAGGCTAGGTCACTCAAAGGCTAGGTCACTCACAGGCTAGGTCACTCACAGGCTAGGTCACTCACAGGCTAGGTCACTCACAGGCTAGGTCACTCACAGGATAGGTCACTCACAGGCTAGGTCATTCACAATCAAGGTCATTCACAGGCTTGGTCATTCACAAGCTAGGTCACTCACAGGCTAGGTCATTCACAGGCTTGGTCACTCAGAGGCTAGGTCACTCACAGGCTAGGTCACTCACAGGCTAGGTCATTCACAGGCTTGGTCACTCACAGGCTAGGCCATTCACAAACAAGGTCATTCACAGGCTTGGTTATTCACAGGCTAGGTCACTCATAGTCTAGGTCACTCACAGGCTAGGTCACTCACAGGCTAGGTCATTCACAGGCTTGGTCACTCACAGGCTAGGTCACTCACAGGCTAGGTCACTCACAGGCTAGGTCACTCACAGGCTAGGTCATTCACAGGCTTGGTCACTCAGAGGCTAGGTCACTCACAGGCTAGGTCACTCACAGGCTAGGTCATTCACAGGCTTGGTCACTCACACGCTAGGCCATTCACAAACAAGGTCATTCACAGGCTTGGTTATTCACAGGCTAGGTCACTCACAGTCTAGGTCACTCACAGGCTAGGTCACTCACAGGCTAGGTCACTCACAGGCTAGGTCACTCACAGGCTAGGTCACTCACACGCTAGGTCATTCACAGGCAAGGTCATTCACAGTCTTGGTCATTCACAGGCTAGGTCACTCACAGGCTAGGTCACTCACAAGCTAGGTCACTCACAGGCTAGGTCACTCACAGGCTAGCTCACTCACAAGCTAGGTCATTCACAGGCCGGGTCATTCACACGCTTGGTCATTCACAGGCTAGGTCACTCACAGGCTAGGTCATTCACAGGCAAGGTCATTCACAGGCTTGGTCATCCACAGGCTAGGTCACTCAAAGGCTAGGTCACTCATAGGCTAGGTCACTCAAAGGCTAGGTCACTCACAGGCTAGGTCACTCACAGGCTAGGTCACTCACAGGTTAGGTCACTCACAGGCTAGGTCACTCACAGGCTAGGTCATTCACAGGCAAGGTCATTCACAGGCTTGGTCATTCACAGGCTAGGTCACTCACAGGCTAGGTCACTCACAGGCTAGGTCACTCACAGGCTAGGTCATTCACAGGCTTGGTCACTCACAGGCTAGGTCACTCACAGTCTAGGTCACTCACAGGCTAGGTCATTCACAGACTTGGTCACTCACAGGCTAGGTCACTCACAGGCTAGGTCACTCACAGCTCAAAGGCTAGGTCACTCACAGGCTAGGTCACTTACAGGCTAGGTCATTCATAGGCTAGGTCACTCACAGGCTAGGTCAGTCACAGGCTAGGTCACTCACAGGCTAGGTCACTCATAGGCTAGGTCACTCATAGGCTAGGTCATTAACAGGCTTGGTCATTCACAGGCTAGGTCACTCGCAGGCTAGGTCACTCACAGGCTAGGTCACTCACAGGCAAGGTCATTCACAGGCTTGGTCATTCACTGGCTAGGTCATTTACAGGCTAGGTCACTCACAGGCTAGGTCATTCACAGGCTAGGTCACTCACAGGCTAGGTCACTCACAGGCTAGGTCACTCACAGGCTAGGTCACTCACAGGCTAGGTCATTCACAGGCTTGGTCATTCACAGGCTAGGTCACTCACATGCTAGGCCACTCACAGGCTAGGTCACTCAAAGGCTAGGTCACTCACTGGCTATGTCACTCACAGGCTAGTGTTAGAATCCCTCTTCTCTTGTAACTTGCATATATGCTATAGGTTAGGCTAGAGTTAAGCACCCAAACTTAGTTTGGGTGTACAAACAGGGGTAACCCACTTTGTAGGTTGGAACCCAACCTTGGTCGAATTATTGGACCCCAAAAGGTTGGGTTGGGGAGAATTATTGGCCCCCTCCAATAATGTTGACCCCACCCCAACTTGGCCAACATTATTGGACCCCACCAATAATCTCCCAACCCTACCTCTTGGTTGGGGTCCAATAATGGCACCTTAGGCTAGCATCCAACCCCATTACTATGTATACCCCCTTGTTTCTCTATCACATCAACTACTTCATTTCAACCTTTCTTCTCACATGGTATAGAGATGTCATTCCTAGGCCTACTCCTCTCTCAAAAAGCCCACCCGGCCGCCGCAACCCCCGGCCTCCTCCCTCATTTTTTTTTCCCCCTCTCGGCTATCCCGCCGCCTTCCTCCCCCCCTTTAGCGCCCTTTTTTCTCCACAGCTCCACGGCCTCCCGAGCCGCTGCAGCCCGCGCCACTCTCTTTCGCGGCCTCGACGCCGCCTCCGCGCCAGCGCCGCCGCGGCCTTGCCAGCCGCCGCCGCCCGCGCCCTTCCCCTCCGCGGCCTCGACGCCGCCTCCGCGCCTCGCCGTGGCCTCACCAGCCGCCGCCCGCGCCACTCCGCGGCCTCGACGCCGCCTCCGCGCCAGCGCCGCCGCAGCCTCGCCAGCCGCCGCCGCCCGCGCCCTTCCCCTCCGCGGCCTCGACGCCGCCTCCGCGCCTCACCGCGGCCTCACCAGCCGCCGCCCGCGCCACTCCGCCGCCTCGCCACCGCCTCCGCGCCAGCGCCACCGCGGCCTCGCCAGCCGCCGCCGCCCGCGCCCTTCCCCTCCGCGGCCTCGACGCCGCCTCCGCGCCTCGCCGCGGCCTCGCCAGCCGCCGCCCGCGCCACTCCGCGGCCTCGCCGCCACCTCCGCGCCAACGCCGCCGCGGCCTCGCCTGCTGCCGCCGCCCGCGCCCTTCCCCTCCGCGGCCTCGACGCCGCCTCCGCGCCTCGCCGCGGCCTCGCCAGCCGCCGCTCGCGCCACTCCGCAGCCTCGCCGCCGCCTCCGCGCCAGCGCCGCCGCGGCCTTGCCAGCCGCCACTGTCCGCACCCTTCCCCTCCGCGGCCGCGACGCCGCCTCCGCGCCTCGCCGCGGCCTCGCCAGCCGCCGCCCGCGCCACTCCGCGGCCTCGCCACCGCCTCCGCGCCAGCGCCGCCGCGGCCTCGCCAGCCGCCGCCGCCCGCGCCCTTCCCCTCCCCGGCCTCGACACCGCCTCCGCGCCTTGCCGCGGCCTCGCAAGCCGCCGCCCGCGCCACTCTGCGGCCTCGCCGCCGCCTCCGCGCCAGCGCCACCGTGGCCTCGCCAGCTGCCGCCGCCCGCGCCCTTCCCCTCCGCGGCCGCGACGCCGCCTCCGCGCCTCGCCGCGCCCTCGCCAGCTGCCGCCCGCGCCACTCCGTGGCCTCGACGCCGCCTCCGCGCCAGCGCCGCCGCGGCCTCGCCAGCCGTCGCTGCCAGCGCCCTCCCCCTCCGCGGCCTCGACGCCGCCTCCGCGCCAGCGCCCCGCGGCCTCAATAGCCGCTGCGGCCCGCGCCCTTCCCCTACGCGGACTCGTCGCCGCCTCTCCTCACGCCCCTCCGGGACCACTGCGGGTCCACCCGCAGCCGTCCATCATGGCTCACGCCACACCCTCCCCCCTCCCTCCTCCTATTGATACCTCCTCTATCGATAAGCTGCAGCTCGCCGCGGACAAATCCGCCGTCAACTGGCACTCCTTCATCGGCAGCATTCGTCGAGTTCTCTCCGATGCATGGGTCCCCCCCTACCGCGTCCTTGACGTCATCCTCTGCCGTCCCCATGCTCTCCCCCCCACCGCTCCTGACCACCCCGGCGAGACCCCTCCTCTCCCTCCCCCTCCTGGCGATCCTCCTCGTGAACCCGACCTCCAACTCACCGACGACCAAGCCACCGCTGATGCAGACTTCATCTTACGACGCCGTGCATACCTTATCCGCAAAGCGGAGTACGATGCAGCAGTTGAAGCCTATGACCAGGCAGTTGCTGGCTGCAATGCTCATCTTGCCATCGTCGCCAAATACAACGACGACTTGGCTACCTTTACCCCAAACCTCATCGCCTGGACAGGTGCTGACACCCGCGCCTGCACCGTTCTCCTCGGTGCCCTCCCTGACTCCCTTATGCGCTGCTTCCAGGCTCGGGAACTCCGTGCCTCGGTCATCTAGGCCGAACTCCATGCCATGTTCGAGCGCCGCGACATCAGCTCGGTTGGCATCCTCTTTCAAGAGTACTTTTCAATCACCCTCGCTACATGTGACGGAGCGGTCGACTATGTCGGACGTATGCGAGAAGTAGCTGATCGCCTCGAAGCCCGCCAGGCTGGCCTCTCCGAACCCCTCCAAATCCATCGCCTCCTGTTTAACCTCACCCCAGACTATGAATCATGCCTTCACGCCTTTACCGAAGCCAATCCCATGGCCGATCTCGCCTCCGTTGAGCAGTGGATCATAGACACCGAAGTCAAACTTCGCACCCCCATTGTCAACCTCGCCTCCTCCCAACCCTCCTCCTCCTCCCTCAACGCTACCCAGCCCCGCAAGCAGGCACAAAACAACGGCAAAGGGGGAGGTGGGGGCAAGGGAGGTGGCGGTCAGGGCAACGGCAGCACAAACAGCCGTGGCGGCACCACTGGGGATGAGCATGGCACCACTAATTCGGGCGGAGCCTCTGCAGGCCGCGGAAGTCGTCCTGGCACTCTTTCGCCCTGCACCTATGTCCGTCGCTATGGTCCCCGGGCAGGAACACCCTGCGGGCAGACAATCCATCCCCCTAGAACCTGCTTCAAGGCTCTCGATGATGCCTGGTACGTGCGGGGCAATGTTGGCACTCCTCCCAAGTGGGGAACGATCTCCCCACGTCCCTCCCTTGCCGACATCCAAACCAACCCCGCTTGCCTCCCTGCCCACCTCCGCCTCCTTGCTCCCCTCACACCGCTCCTCAATCTCCAACAGCAGCACCTCCTGCAGCAGCACCAACAGCAGCAGCAGCTGTTTCATCAGCAGCCACAGCAGCAGCAGCAGCCGCAGCCCCAGCCGCACCCATGGGGAACTGGACTCCTACCCCAGTGGGGATCCAGCCCTCCTCCCTGGCAGCAGCAGCAGCTGAATTTTGGCACAGCTGCCATAGCCGCTCAAGCCTCACCATCCCCCCTTTGGGGTGCTCCAACCCCTAGTAGCACTGCCCCTCCTCTTACCCAGGAGAACTTTCTTGGCAACATTGCTATCTCACCCTCACTTCCTTCCATGTACCCATCCACCGTTAATGAAACTACTTTCCAGTACTCCGTCTCTTCCTCCTCCTCACCCACTCTGGACTTTGTCCTCGATAGTGGGGCCACTGAGACCGCTCTCAAGGATGCTGGTACACTCACACCCCTCTCTCCTCCCACGCAAGTTCACGGCGCTGACAGCAGCTTTACCATCCCATGCACACATCTCTCTACTCTCCCCTGCACACTCTTCCCCTCTGGTAAGGTAACTGGTCTCCACATCCCCACCCTCCGAAACAACCTCCTCTCCCACCGTGAAATCCAAACTGCTGGTATCACTGCCGTATATCCAAGTAATGCCACCTACTGTGACCTATACCACACCGCCACTGGTCGCTTCCTTCTACGCATTCCCCTCTGCCCCCGCACTCGCCTCTACACTCTCCGCACCCCTTGGCCATCCTTCTGCCATGTCACCACTCGTGCTGGCACTTCCACTAACCCTCCCCATCCCCCTACCTCACCTCCACGCCACCAGCAGGGGCCGCAGCAGCAGCAGCCGCCGCAGCAAGGGCCGCAGCAGCAGCAGCAGCAGCAGCCGCAGAGGCAGCAGCAGGGGCCGCAGCAGCAGCAACAGGGGCCGCAGCAGCAGCAGCAGCCGCCACAGCAGGGGCAGCCACAGCAGCAGCAGCAGCAGCCGCCGCAGAGGCAGCAGCACGGGCCGCAGCAACAGCAGCAGCAGCAGCCACCGCAGCAGGGGCCGCAGCAACACCAGCAGCAGCCGCCGCCGCAGAGGCAGCAGCAGGGGCCACAGCAGCAGCAGCAGCAGCGGCAGCCGCAACAGCAGCAGCAGCAGTCACCTCCCCCTCTCTCACTCACTCCAACCCCCCCCACCTCCGATCATCTCTCCCACCCCGCTGTGCTGCTCCACCACCGTCTCGGCCACCCCAATTTCGCCGCTCTCCGCACTGCCATCACCTCTCGCCTCCTCCACGGCCTCCCCCCCACTCTCCCCCACCTCCCTTCCTCTCCAGCCCCTCCATGCCCCTCGTGCATCCACGGCAAACTCAAACAGTCCCCCCACCACAGCCACCCATCCTTTACTCCCGCTCCAATTGATCTCGTCCATATGGACCTCTGGGGACCCTCCCCCACTCGTTCTCGTCAGGGCCATTGCTACATGCTGGTCCTCGTAGACGACCACAGCCGCTACTCCTCCGTTTTCCTCCTCCATACGAAAGACCAGGCGCCGACCATGATAATCAACTGGGCCGAGCAATGCCGCGCCCACTTCAAGCGTCCCATCGGCCGCCTACACTCTGACGGGGGAGGCGAATTCCTCAATCGCACTCTCTCCCATTACTGCACCACCCATGGCATCCAACAGACTCACACCCTCCCCCACTCCTCGCAGCAGAATGGCGTCGCAGAAAGCCAGATTCGCGAAATCACCAAGAACGCCCGCTGTCTCCTCGCTCACGCCTCAACCCCCCCTTCCCTCTGGGGCTATGCTTTGCTCCATGCTGCCCTCCTCCTCAACCTTCACTCCCATCCCCAACATACCACCACCACCCCCACGGAGCTTTGGTCGGGCACCAAACCTGATGCCGCTGGTCTCCGTGTCTGGGGTTGCAAGGCATATGTCCTTATCCCTCCATCCGATCGCACCCACGGCAAGCTCGCTTCTCGCGCCCTCGAGTGTGTCTACCTCAGGCACAACCGCGACTCGCCTGGCTACCTCTTCCTTCACCCTCCCTCTGGACGCCTTATCCGCAGCATTGACGTCGTCTTTGACGAAACCACCCCCTATTACTCCTCTTCACCGCCAGACCCCCTCCCTCCTCCTTCACGTCCTCTCACTTGGACCGACACTGTGCTCCCTCCCCTCCTCCCCCCTGCACCCCTTCTCCCACCTCTCCCTACTCCGCTTCAGCCACCCTCATCTGCCGACATCTACGATCCCACTGCTCCCGCATCCCCTGCACACTCCGCAGCCCCCCCTCCCTCCTCTCCCCCCCCCTCTCCTTCTCCTCCGTCCTAGCAGCAGGGGCAGCAGCCGCAGCAGCAGCAACAGCAGCAACATGGGCAGCAGCAGCCGCCGCAGCAGCACCAGCAGCAGCAGCAGCAGCAGCAGCAGCAGCAGCAGAGGCAGCAGTAGCAGCAGCAGCAGCAGCAGCAGCAGCAGCAGTAGCAGCAGCAGGGGCAGCAGCATCGGGAGGAGCAGCAGCCGCAGCAGCAGCAGGGGTTCCAGCAGCACCAGCAGCAGCAGAGGCAGAGGGCAATTGCCCGCTCCTCACCCTTCCTCCTCCCTCGCATGCACACCCGCTCCCTCGATCCCATCCTTGGCACACCGCCGCCTCCCTCCCTCAACCAGCTCGAGGATTCCCATGAGGAGTTCACCATGGTCCAGCGCCACACTCCCTCTCTCACCACGCTCTACCCTGGCCTCCTCGGCGCTCTAATCCTTAGCGAGATCTCCGCTCCCACCATCTTCGTCCCCTCCACCTTCCAGGAGGCTATCACCTGCCCTGACGTTGACAAGTGGATAGCCGCCATCTTCCTGGAATGTGAGGCATTTATCCGCAACGACTCCTTCATTGACGTTCCCCTCCCCCCTGACGCCAACCTTGTCGAGGGCAAGTGGATCTTTTGAGTCAAGCAGCTGCCGGGAGAAGAACCGGTCTACAAAGCCCGCTACGTTGCCAAGGGGTTCACTCAGACCTGGGCTGAAGACTTCTGGTTCACATTTGCCCCCACTGTCAAGCAGGCCACCCTACGCACCCTCATGGATATTGGTGCGAGTGACGACATGGAGATTGACTCCATGGACGTCTCCAACGCGTTCCTGCAAGGTGAACTTCACGAGAGCATCTTCCTCCGTCGGCCTCCTGGGTTTCATGCTGCTTTCCCTGACAACACCGTCTGGCAACTTCGGCGACCTGTTTATGGCCTGAAGCAGGCACCACGAGAATGGCATGCGAAGCTGTCTGCCACTCTCCAGTCCCTTGGTTTCTCCGCCTCCCACTCCGATGCCAGCCTCTTCATCCGCTCTTCCCCCCGTCGCTTCTTCATCTCGGTCTACGTTGACGACATGATCCTGCTCGCTGACACCAAGACCGACATGGAGCAAGTCAAGCGGTCACTTCAGGAACGTCTCAAGTGCAAAGACCTTGGTCCGCTGCAGAACTACCTCGGCATGGCTATCACTCGTGATCGATCTGCCCGCACCATCACCCTCTCTGTGAGAGTACGACGGCTTATGCTGGCTTTTCTAGCATGCCTAGACTTTATTACGCTATATCTAGCTTGGGTTTTATTTATCATGCATAGATATGCTTGATTTCCTAGGTTAGGTGCATTCCTATATATTATTATAGTTATAGCACCGAACCAGGTTACGTGTACCGAACTCAAGCCTATTCGGTTCCCACCGAATTGCTTTCTACTGAGTTCGGGAAGGCTCTGTTCGGGGCGCTTCGCGGCCCTCAGAACATTCGCGTAACACCTGGGTAACTGGCCTCGTGTTGTACCCAGGTGAATCATTCCATTCGATTCAATCACAACTCTCTTTTCTGAGCTCGATCCTAGATCCTCACACTTGGTAATCAGAGCCTTTTCGAAGCGAAGTTTTTTCTACCGCTAAAACCTAGCTTTTAAAACCGCGGGGGCGACGACGGAAAGCGCCGATTTCGGGTACGTAAACCAGTTCCGCGCTATTTTCTAACGTCCCCCTCGAACCGGTTTTCGAACACTCCTCAGGTCCAGAGGCGAAAAAGTTGAATTTCGACCGTCGGATCGATTCGAATCTCAACGGCCCTGAGAATTTTGACCAAAAGGGTTGGAATTTGGAGCGTCGAATTTCTTCTCAACGGCCGAGATCGGACGCGAATTTCGACTGATGGAGAATTACGCAACCTACAGAATCAATGCTCGTCAATTCTACAGTTGATTCGACTCACAGTAAGATGACCAGCGGCTAGAATTCAATTATTTTCGTCGCACATTTTCCGGTAAATCGCCAAATGGAGGAAAACGGTGATAATTCCGTACGAAAAATTACGGAGTTACACACCGGCCTGGACCAGACGCGAGTGGCACTCCAGAGAATAGAGGAGCTTCTCGCGAACCAGTTGGTAGCCGCCACAGCAGCAGCGAACGTAGCAGCGAATGCAGCAGCGACGCCAGCAGCAGCAGCAGCGACACCGACACTTCACCCAGCAGCAGCGGCAGCAGCTACAGTGAATCTTGAGGCGGCACGTCCGAAGCTACCGGAGACGTTCAATCCGAATGCGAGAGACACTGACGTTCGTCGATTCATTGCGACTCTCGAAATTTACTTCGAGGCCGTTGGGTGTACGACCCCGACACACGATGCAATGCGGATTCGGCTCGCAGCGACACTGTTACGAGGCCCGGCGCTCGAGTGGATTAACA